CTGCTTCAGGATTCGGCTTTTTTTCTAAACTCTCTTCTGGTGGAATCGGCTGTTTCAACCAATCAAAGTTAAGACAAAACGTTCTTTTCTTTACACGTCTAAAGCCTGAAAAGACGCATCGTCCGCCCTGTTTCTTTAGCAGATGGGTGTTATAAATGCCAAAGCTAACACAGTTTAGCAAACAGAAAACAGGATTCTGACCGTGCCATTAACTCCAGCGGATCGTTTCCTGTTGGCCTCATCAGAAATGCAGAACAAAGGCAGAAACAAGGCTTAAAGGGACTAAATATACAGCAAAAAAGCAAAAACAAGGCTTAAAATGACCAAGAAATACACCAAAAAAGCAAAAACAAGGCTTAAAATGACCAAAATACAGCTAAAAAGGCCAGAACAAACCAAAAGAAGTAAAAATGACCGAAATGAGACAAAAAAAAAAATCCAAATTGAGGGTACAACAAAGATGGAGGGATGGAATCTATCACCTGACAGGAAAGGTGGAGGGATGAGCTCAGAGCAGAGATTAAACTTTCACCTTCTTGCTTTTATTTTGCATCTTTGTTTGCATGAGGGATTTAGAAGAAAACGGGAAGGCCTTAGACTTCAGCTCTGGGTTACTTATTAATAAAAAAGGGCTGACTCACAATAACTGTCAGGAAGAACGTTATAGTCTTTCTGTCAAGTTCAAACTATTTATAAAAGTCACAGTTTAGTAAAAGCTCCCTTAGATCCTGTTCACCTATCACATCGTTATTATACGTCGTTTTATTATATCACATCATTTTCTTATTATATGTCTAATTTATCTAACTTATCTCATTTATGTCTATGTCTGCACAGGGGAGCAAGAAACGAAATTTAAATTCTCTGTATGATCAACGCATGTAAAGAATTTGACAATAAAGCCTATTTGACTTGACTTGACTTGTTATCTGAACAGAAATTAACCTATTTCGGGCTCGCGGACGCGCACGAGACGCAGCAACTTTTCGGGGACACTCACCGGGTTGTAGAAGGGGGGCTGGACGTAGGCCATGGTCCGGGTCCGGGTCCGGGTCTGGGTCCGGGACTCTAACGGGATCCTGCAGACTGTGGCTCAAAATGGGAGTCTTATCCTGGACACTTCTCGCTTTTTTTCTGCAGCTTCTTTAGGTTTCGGTTTCCCCTCAGTGGGCGGTTTCTACCCACCCAGGAGCCATGTTGTTTTTGTCATTTAACCCTGTAATGCCAAATGTATTATATCTGATTCATACTGTTTCTGAAATGTTTTGTTTCTGACTCCTTTTGCATCATTTAGTGGTAAAAAATTTGCTCAAAATCCTATTGAACACAATCAGATACACCTGATAACAGGGGGCAGAAGACTACACAAAAAATAATCTTGATTTATCGCATAGTAATAAATTATTATTATGAAAAAAGCATTTCTGTTTTTTCTTTTGACATATTTTGTTAAAAGGCCAAATAAAGACTTCAAACCAAAAAAAAAGTAATTTTCTGTTTTGTTTTATTCTTGGATCAGGCTTTAAAGGGTTAAAAGATTATTTATGTCTACAGGAAAAGTCCCATTTTTTATTAACCAACATTCAGAGACTACCAGGTTGCCCCTCCAGTTGGTCATTTTAGACCCAAAATAGGGTTAAACCCAACCCCCCCCTCCCCATTGCATCACACATTACTGGAAACTGGAATCAGAGGAGGATGTTGCAGATGTTAGAACCAGTTCTTCAAAAATCTCAGTTCTCAGAGATAAGATGGAGTTCCAGATGTGTCCGTCTGGACTTTTCTGGACCTCCTCATGTCAGAAACTTTAACTTGTTTTTTAATCCTCCGCTCGTCTCCTAAATCTGAGATGGAAATTAAACTACTTTATGTCTGTTTAGCTAAATGTTTAAACATCTGGATCAGAATCACACGACCAAGAGCGATGGATGCTCTGGTCTCTGAGACCCTGGGAATCTTTTACTTCAGGATTAATTTTAAGATTTCTGTTCGGGAAAATGACTTGAAAACAGAAACTGGATTAAAAGAGACATTGGCTCCCGGTCAGAGAAGTAGGCTACTTCCTTTTCCCATTTCTGCATGCCTGAGACCTCATTTTCAGATCTGTGAAAACCAAAAATATGCTTTTTTGATTAATTGAAATAATTTAATATCCTTTTTTTGTCCTTTAAGCCTGGAAGACGTTTGTGTTTGTGAATCAAACAGATGCTTTTATCCACAGATCCCCACAGTTAGCATCAAGCTAACAGAGAAATTAGCATCAGACGGGGGCAGAGGTCACAGTGAGAGGGAAGTAGAGTGTGTGTGTGTGTGTGTGTGTGTGGGGGGGGGGGGTTACAGGGTTAGGGTTAGGACTGGAAATCCCCTTTTAGGGCCTAACAGCTCATGAAACCCAGTTCCAGATGACGATGCAAATTTGAAATGTGGAACTAATGTTGTGCAAGAGGCTGCCTGGAAAGAAAGACACCTGATTAACAGA